ACTCATGTTATAACATCAATGAAATGTACAATAATGGTTAATGACTAATTTTATTTCTATATTATATTCCCATCGTTTCTGCTGATAAATTCCAGTACTCACACACAGTTTGTACAAAATATTTCATCAATATGACTTATATTTTATATTCATTCTATTGGAATGAATTTGAAATAAAGTCATATATTCGGATAATTTTATTTTTGTTTTATTTAATCAGTCAAATGATTTTTTACAAAAATTTATTTTTATATTTTACTCATTATTTTTAGCTGAATCTTTTCTATAAAATATAGTAAATAGAAACGCTGAATAATTATGCCAGAGGCAAATGATCCTCTTAAAGCAAGAGACTTTTGCAGTACATTGCAGCACTTTCAGGTTCTATATATTAATAATAATTACATTTCTAATTAGGATTCATATATTCATATCAATTACTAATCATATGAGTTGAATCAGATTAATTTCTGAATGTATATGAATAAAGTGAATTCACCAACGATCAACTAATAATAAATATTTTACCTTGTTCAATTCTAGCAAATATTGGCGCTTTTGCTGCGGGAACTGTTTTAGCCTGGACGTCACCTGCAGCACCAGAAAGACTAAAATCAGAATACAAAATAGAAGTGAGCACAAATGAATATTCTCTAATCGGATCTATTGCAACAGTGGGCCTAGCTGCATCATGTCTCCCTACTGGAATTCTCATCGATATCATTGGGCGCAAATTGGGAATGCTAATAATGGTAATACCATTCATCCTTGGTTGGGCTCTAATCACTTGGGCAGCAAACGTTGGTATGATGGTTGCTGGTCGATTTATAATTGGATTCTCAGGTGGTACATTTTGCGTAGCCGCTCCGATTTACACGGCAGAAATTTGCGAGAGTGAAATACGAGGTGCTTTAGGAAGTTACTTTTCATTAATGCTTGCTGGTGGTATACTTTATGTATACATTATAGGATCTTTTATAAATTTATATATTTTAACTATAATGTGTTTGCTCGTGCCTATAATCTTTGCCGTGACATTCTTTTTTATGCCGGAATCGCCCATGTTTCTGATATCCAAAGGAAAAACAGAACAAGCTGCTAAGTCTTTGCAAAAATTGAGAGGCAAACATTATAATATAGAAGGAGAAATGAGAGCGATGCAACAGAATCGAGCTTTTAGAACAAGAAAATAAACTTCCATGCAGGAAAGCGTTTTCCACAAAGGCTGCCATAAAAGCTATTACAATTTCTATGTTTCTCATGCTGTTCATGCAATTTTGTGGAATAAATGCAGTAGTTTTCTACAGTTCATCAATATTTGAAGAAGGCGGTCTTATAAGTGCCGATACCGCAGGCATAATAATAGCAGTTGTGCAGGTTATCTTCGTCTTGGTATCAATAGTAATAGTAGATAAATTAGGCAGAAGAATACTGCTGATAATATCCGCTGTTTCAATGGCTTTGAGTTGCTTAGGCATGGGAACTTATACCATATTTTCTAAAAATCCAGATAATCATGATATGATATTAAAACTTTCTTGGGTACCCTTAGTAACTCTATGCGTTTATATGGCTGCATTTTCTACAGGATTTGGTCCTATACCTTGGATGATGATTGGAGAGCTATTTCCATCAGCAATAAAAGGAATTGCAGGTGCCATATCGACAACATTTTGCTGGATAGTAGCATTTTTTGTCACACAATCGTTCGGAATGATATCTGATCAATTAGGAAAAGATTGGCCTTTCTGGATCTATGGTACTGCATGTGTAATAGCAGCGATATTCGTGTATTTTTGTGTGCCTGAAACGAAGGCTAAGACTTTAAGTCAGATTCAGCTAATGCTCGGCAGAAGCAATAACTAAAATGTTTTAATTCTGCAACGCCCATTTATAAAATTTTAATTCTGATTTTATTTATTTAATATATCATTTACAAAGTCTCTATTTCTTAATTATATTTATATAAAAATTAATATTAAACATTTTAAAATAATATACTTATATAGAGTATTAAATGGAAAATCATAAGCATTTAAATACATCAATCAAGCTACCCAAAGAATGTCATTGTTTACATAATCTACAATATTCATTTGAAATAAAATGTAATTAATTTACAATACAATAAATGTTTTTATTTGTACAATTATAGCATAACAATTTTATTACCTAACTTACAATTACAAATATCTATCCTTAATGATATTTTGATTGCTCGCAAATTTCTCGATTCCATCATGAGATGAAAACTAATGATTAATATCAAAAAATGATATGATAATCGACACACAAAAAGTGTATTAGAAAAGCGAAGTATGGCAATCGATATAGACAAAATATATTGGAAAAAATATGTTTAAAAAATTATATTATAGATAGCTGCCTAATATAATACCATTCATTTACACCATTAAATTTCATCACTGTTTCAGTAAAGTTTCTATCAATTCACGCTCTTCCGCCTATTATAGGCACACTTGTTAATGTTCATAAATGATCCGGTTTCATTTTCATACCAATAAAATTATTTAGCAAAAATATCTGGAATTGTTTTAATACTAAAATTTCACTAAAAATTATTATTAGACTAAGCACTGTTTAAAGTATGGCAGTAATGTAAATAATAAAATTCACGCTTCGTCTGCTAATAAAAAATACTCAGTCTTACCATACAAACACAATTTGCTCAACGTGATCCACATCACCATGTTTACAGCATTTACAATGAATCAGATCATAACAATCTCTTATTTTAAAGTTGTATATACACTTAAAATGTCACAAGATACTTATTAAATACAGGGCAGGTCATTCTTTACATTAAGTATTTTCAAACGATGGATTTCAAACCAGGTGCGTGATGTACTCCTGTGAATTGAGGCCGGATTCGTTGTGAGTCGCGCCTCATACCAACACTTGTCAGTTGGTGTAATGGTCGAAGGACGCTAAGTACTCGAGGGCTGCGTGATAGCAGAACTGATACTGGTCCTAGAATACGAAATTTTGTTCTACACTTTCAGGAAATATACTTAAATACATCTATTTATTTGTTTATTGATTCATAAGCAAGACGATTCAATAAGCATTATTTCAAGCCTTTATCCTCCGATTTGGATGTATGGCATCCAACTATGGGGATCTGCCAAAAATTAGCAATTTACAAATATTACAACGTTTCTAAAATAAAATACTTCGACAGGCAATATCTGCTCCAAGATATGCCCCGACATGGTTAATTCATCAGAACACCAATACTTTCATCACAATCAGAGAAGAAATTTAAAGAACTGCCCTTAGCTACAAGAACAAAGTCGACCAACATGAAAATGAACTTATAGCATATCTGTATAATACCACGTACAATCTAATGACTGAACAGAATCAATTTAATTGAAGTAACACAATGGTCGATAACGCAATGTATTACTTGGTTTATGTTTCAACATACTAGGTATGTTGTAATTTTATATAGTTTATTCATTTTTGTATAATAATATAATATTTAAATTAGAATGTAGTATAAAAGTACAAAGCAAACCATTGGGTTTTCCTTCTAGAAAATGCCACTGTTAATTTCCAAACCAATTACTCAATGTCTATTCATAAACAGATTGTAATTTATGTGTAAATAAAAAAAATCAAGCTCTTATTCCAAGTCAGCTTAGTCAAAATAATATAGGGGACCATATTTTTTAAGTCAAAACCGGGATGACAATTTTTAGTTATGCTAATCCGGGACTTCATGCTAAATAAATTAAATATGACTATCCAAATGATATAATAAAATATAATTTATTTTTTGGATATATGTTTTATTCGCTTTTGATCCTTGTATAAAATTCTGTTCAATCTTCTTCATAATTAATTTGCAAAAATTAGCACGTGTGTCAGACAGCCAAATGCAATGTGAAAGGCTATTTTATCCCGTCGTTGGAATTTTGTATTCGACAATTTTCTCATTTATAACATATTGATTCATATATGCATACTCGTTGTTTTGTAACATAATATACATCATTTTTAGATATTTGATAGGCAGTTGTAATTTCTCCATCAAGTACATTTCGAAAACCTGGGACAATCCGGAACAAAATCTGAATCCGGAACAAAAATTACTTCTAGAAAAAACCGGGACACAGTGTGTAAATTCGGAAGTGTCCCGGCCAAATCAGCCATGTATGGTCACATTATAATAAGTATATAAAACATATAATAAGTATTTATTTCGCTTCTGAAACTAACATATGAAAGCATAAACATTTTCCGCGAGTATCGCCAATAGGTGACACAAATATGACTACCTGCATGAACCTGATAAAGGCTGTCACCAATAGACGACATCCGCATGACGACCTGTATGTATGGGTGATAAAGACTTATCACTCCGAGTGAAATTATTGAGAATTTCTAATTGTTATCGTAATTTTTAGTTTCTTAGAAGTGCAATATATAATTTTTTAATACATTTACAGTACTGCCCTAGGGCAGGTCCGTGAGCTGAGTTAAACTTCAATTCGTTTCAGGGAAGAATAGTGTGAGATTTCCCTTGCCATTGCCATTTCACACTGCAGCACCCAAAATGGGCTTATTTTTAATTGAAAACTTATTATTGATCTATATTTTCTAGTTATAATGGACATCGCTGCTGCACGACGTCAGATTGCCAGAGCGACGGCTTGAACTTCAAAAAATATATACAGAAAAAAGATTAAAATTAATAAAGTAATGGCAATCTCTAGCACTAAAATTAAGTTTGCTAATTTCTAGTATGTTTTTTTATCAATTTTGAAAACAGTTTTCTGGCTATTTTCCGGAAACTGTTGATCGATTACCATGTGCATATATTTTTTCTGAGAATTTTCCAATTTTACCGAAAATTGTAGGACTTTTATCCGCAGCGTTTCAGTATCACACGAAGTTCAACTGTATGTTAAATAGCCACAAATTTTGAGAAGAATCTAACACTTTATGTATTACATAACAACTCAAAATCGAAAATATCCCCAATAAATTTTTGCCACTTACCTCAGTTTGTACCATGGCAGGTCGTTGAGCCCGTAGAACTCGCACCGTTTGGAAAACATCTAACACACCTTCATATTGCATTCGCTCTAATACAATACTCAATGTAATGAAAACACCAGTTCGACCGACACCAGCACTGAAATTTACATAAAACGTAAAATAAACCCTAAAAGTCATCATTAAAATAATAAAACTTTTTATAGTTCGTATAAATACCTGCAATGTACTGTGATGGGTCCGTCTTGTCCAAATTGTTCCTTAGTTTTATGAACTTGTCCAATAAAATCGATAAAACCTTCTCCGCTTTTAGGTACGCCCTGTTCAGGCCAGTCAATGAATTGGAACTGCCTTACTGTCTTAGAAGAACCATCTCTTGCGTCGGTGACCTAATTTTATAAATAATAAATAGTTATATTTTTGATTTCTTGAAGTTTAATGAACACAATAAAATTAATACGTTACCTTGAATTCCCTTAATATATATTGTGGCATATTATATTCAGCAATAGGGTCTACGACAAAACATTGATATCGAACAGATCGGTCAGATGGCCAGTATTGAGCACATTTTTCCTATTAAAACATTATAATTAAATTAGAATCAGAAATTGAACTAATATATGTATATATAAAAGCAGTCAACTTACTCTTCCCATTTCCTTGAGTTTTGTCAACATCACGACTATCGTCGAATTGTGTTCCCAGAGCATTCTCCACAAATCGTCCGCAGTTTCTGGCAGAGGACCTTGAGCTGCAATATACGCGCTTCGGTATCTGTAGCCGTCCATAAAACTCGCATTTATGTAATCAGAGCCCTCCACCCCACGTAAAGGTGTCAGACAAACACGAGAACTCTCATAGGGAAGAATATGGATTAGACGATTTTTGTGTTTGTTGCATGGCAAATTGGCAGTAACGAATCGTGATGCATCCGTAGATTTTGTGCATGATAATCGTTTGAACTCCAATTCCATGCCAGTGACAGACTCTCCTGGCTCTGTTCGCATCAGGCGCTGTATGTGGCCATGTAAACCGCGGGCTGGTATCTCTGTGTTACCGCAGACGATCGCCTCGAGAAGTGCATCGTGTATGAAAACATACTGATCTTCTGTTTGTACCATATAGTTACGCTGAGCTCGTAGGCAGGTAACATGGCCGTAAATATCAACAGTTTTTTCGTGACGTAAACGTTCAAGCATGGAATCGATTACAATAAAGCAACCTGTTCGACCAACACCGGCGGAGCAGTGTACCACGACTGGGCCACAGTCAGCTGGTGTTAAAGCACGGACACGACGCAAAAATTGTAGGAATGGTGCTGGATGATCAGGTACGCCATGGTCGGGCCAAGCTGTGAACTGGAGTTGCTTAATTTCACGTCGTTCTGTAGCGCCTGTACGCTGGATTTGGAATGTTCGAATGCAATAAGCTGCAAGTTCCTGCAAAAAAAAAAACAAAATTTATTAGAGCATTGAAAAAAATCTATTAATTCCATATTTGGTTATTTCTTACTTGTACGTCAACTGTAGTGACAGTCATTTGGCCATAAACGTCTGAGCCTCTAGTTGGCCAATACTGGTCACACTTTATACGCGCTCGTTCTTCAAGTCGGGTCATCATCACAATAGTTGCAGATCGCAATTCCCAACACATTCGCCAGAAATCTGAAGCGGTTTCTTGTAAAGGACCTTGGGTTGCCACATAAGCATTGTTGCGCCTAAAATAAAAATTTAGTAAAATATTACTAAATGCTACATCATAATATTCATATAATAGAAACAAGATTAAATATCAGAATCAGATCGTTTTTGCCAAGACATTGGTATTATAAAAAGGCTTTGTCACACATTGCAAAAAAAAGTAATAAAACTCCGTATTTGCTGATATATTAATATGGAAAATTAAAAGTTTCTAATTATTTACCTGTATCCGTCACAGTAATTTGCATTTATGTAATCTCCTCCTCGGGATTCAGTTGGTTGTAGAATAACACGACTGTGATCATAAGCGATTACGTTTGCATATCGATTTTTAGGCTTGTTAACTTCCATATTAGAATGATCCCAAGTGAATGTTTGTCCAGTTTCGATACTTTCATATTCCTAAAAATTTCATTTAAAAATCTGTTAGTTTCATACATTTTCTATTTTATTTATATTTACACTTGTATGTGATATTACGAAGACTAAATATTGCACTTTCAATTTAATAATGATGGAATAAAAAAATCCTTTATCATTTACCTGTGCAAATTTCAGATTGTCATTAGCTTTAAGGCGTTCAATATGATCGGCCAATTCGGATATAGGTATTGGAGGATGTGACATCATTGCAGGAGTTTGGAAGTTTAATCTTCTCATTTCAACTGGATCTTGTGGTGTTGGTCCTGCTCCCAAATCGGCAGCCATGAGTGGGCGAGTAACTGCAGCCTGATCGGGTGCCTTGCATGGTCTATTGCGTCGTCTTGCTAAGAAGACCAACACCAGACAAGCGGATAATAATAGCGCTGCTATACTTGGGCCTGAAGAATTAATAAAAATAGTAGTTTTGCATAATAATTTAAAATTTACAACAGAACACTGGAAATTGTATACAATAATTATTTTACTCACCTACTATCCAAACAAGACCTGCTTCTTCGGTGTTGCGATTAACAGATACGTCTGGGTCACCTCCTGGTGCATTGGGGTCTGGTCTACGTGGCGGGTCACCTGGAGGTACTTCACGCATACTAAGCGATAAATACTCAGAAAATGGCGATGAAGTATATAAGTGCTTTTGAGGAGTGTCCACAACAGCTCGTACAAAAATACGGTAACGCCTATCTCGCTCCAATCTAATGGAATAAATAATTATTGAAAGCTATTTAGTCATTTGTATTGAGAATTTTATCAATAAATAATGTTAAAAATGAGTTCAGTCTGAATGAAAACTATAATAAAACGATGAATTTATTATAAAGTAATAAATAACACAGAAAAAAATTGTTGAAATAAATTGAGATCAGCAACAATAGGGTACAGTCACCTTCTATTTGTGAATCCATCATAAATATCACCACTGCCAAGATGGAAAGTGTAAGGAATGTTACGTTGAGGAAATTTCGCAGCAATATAAGGTGCGTCCAGGAGTGATGCTTTGGCCATTGATGCTGATGTTCCGGGTGCGCCATTATTATTAACCATTTTAGCTCCAGCAATCATTTCGTCCGTTAAAAATTGGTCAGGATGTTTGTGAGCCAATGATTCGTCTTCAGGAACAACAATTAGGTAATAATGAGATATTGGACCATATTCTTCAGAAGCTTGTGGTAATATGACCTGGAAAAAAATCACCATATTTAAAATAACACAAGATTAAATTCTCATATCCATATCTCTAGTGATTATATTCTATAGATCAATTCTCCTGTATTTGATTTCGTACCTGTATTTCTTCTCCATTAACGACACCGTAAAAATCAGGTTTGACCATGGGTTGCGGTGCAGCCATTTGTGTAGTTACAGTAATTCTAGCTGGTGGTCGGTACTGGTAATCATTTGGTACGGCACTTACATTGACGCAATACGTTGTGAATGGTGACAATTCGTCGATCATATGATTTTTGGCATGAGCAGGTAATACTACTTCGCGCCTTGGCACTGTTTGAGATCGGGTGAAACCTTGTGAATCAACGAATTCTTTGACGGCGTCGAATGATACCTAAAAGAAAAAACATAATATATGCAAAAATGCAATGCAAATGAAAGAAATGCAATTTTTTCCTTCCGTTATTATTACCTTATAATTTACAGGGTTTAGGCGAATTGGCGGAGACCAAGATAAAGTCATCGAATGAGTGCTGACGTCGTGCGCTCTTAAATCTAATGGCACATCTTCTGGTTTAACCTGAAATAGCATAAATAAAAAATAGATCAAAACATTGCAGTATATATTCATCAACATCCATTGTCAGTAGACTTTTAAGCTGCCTTGAATTACACCAGTAATTAATGACCTTGATCTTGAATTTACCTTAACATTTACTTTTTCCGACAGTCTCCAAAGACCACCATCTGAGGTTCTGGCCGCTACTGCCACACGATATGTGGCATACTTTTCCAAATTTACTAAATCAGCAGATTCCGTACGTGCGACATCTTTATGTTGCCATTCGTCCAAATCAGAACCTGCATCCATAGAAGCTGTTGCAGCAGCCATTGCGTAGAATACCCTGAAAAAAATAAGATCATTAATTGTTTTTTTCATTTGTTGGTCAATATTAAATTGAATATAGAATACTCAATTGAAATAATAGTATGTAAATATTATGGAGCTTGGGGTAATACATTGAATTTTAATTTGGTATCTCTATAGTATGCAAGTTTTGGCTGTAATTTTAGAGCAACTCTTGTCAGAGTAATACCTTGAAGTATGTATTGAGCAAATGTCTATATAAAGCCTAAATTTGTTGTTCTTGTCTCTTTTTCAATTAAAAATAAAGACTTTATTCTTTTACCTGTATCTTTAAGATATTTACCTGTATCCAACAACTTTTCCACGAGATGGAACGCCTTCCCACCATACTTCGGCGCTTGAATCAGAAGTTGCAACCGCTTGAACAGACATTGGGGCTCTTCCTAAATCGCGTTCCGTCCTTGCAGACACATCTGCACAATAAGGACCTGCTCCACGACTTGTGTGGGCTCTTACCCGAATTAGATATTCAGTATTTTCTTCCAAACCTGGAAATAATATTAATTATTTCATACATTACTATAACCGACTACTGCAATTTACCATGGTAGATACCTTGGTTTATACATTAGGAACAGAAGTATGTAGATACAACGAATCAGGACAAGTAGTAACTAGTTTTAATAAATGTGTAATACATTTAGTGATTTGTATACAAGGTGGTAATATAATTTCCAATTACATAGAATCATATCGATATTTTTATTATAAAAACTCTTTTACCTCCAAAGACAACTCTGGCTCCTTCGTCCACATTACTTCCAGCGGTAATATTTGCGGTATTTTCTGCTGCCACGGAACCATCGGATTTGCGCCTGAGCTGGGCATCATATCGAACAATACGGCCATTTCGATGTTCGCGAGTTGGTGGCAACCAGCGCACCACTATAGAATCAGGTGTTTGGAATCGAACTTTTACCTAAATAATTCATATATAATAGTAATCCAGTAAACTTACACAGTTCATGTAGACAATATGTTTTATATACTCCTTAAGATAAAATTAAAGTGATGGCAAATAATATGAGTAGATGTCGAATATAATCAGATGAATCAAATATAGAGACCAAATGAATATGTTACCTCTGTGGGTGGTCCATCAGGAGCTCCTTCTGGTGTTGAATAATATTTTACGGCTTCTTGTCCAACTCCGATAGCATTTCGACCAGCTACACGAAATTCATATTCCACGCCTCGTTCGAGATCACCTTTTAGAAACACATGAATAATTAGTATAAACTGTACCAGTAATTTTGTAGAATTGAGATTTGGAATATGTCATCATATTTTAAATAAATAACTAAAAATTCATTTCCATTGAATGTTATATTGCTTTTTTATCGTCACTATGAATACATATGTTAAGTTTCCTTAATTTATCATACCTATTCTTCTGGCCGTGATTTGTCCACCATTGATGTGTTCCTCTTTTAGTGGTGGTTGGTCTCTTACACCATGTCTCAATCGATAGCCTCTAAGTTCTCCGTAGGTCTGAGAAGGTTTACTCCATTCCAATTCTACAGTTACTGATGGTTCTCTTTCGATTACCTTCAAAGTAACATGAGGTCTGTGAGGAACGCCTCCTGGGGTCCGTACCATGACTGGAGGACTGCGATCGCCGTCACCTTTGCGAGTCAAAGCTGCCACCTGAGGTAAATAATGGATAAAATGATGTCGAAAATGTTAAATCAAAAATATTTTTGAACCTGTTCAAAACAAGATCTATCTGTTTTTCATCAGGGTTATTTTTACACAAATTACGATTAATATAAGCTTGTAGGCTTCGACGATATTGGAGATGAATACCTGATGATACAACATATCTTTTAATTCTAACATATTTCGTAAACTTTTCAAATCTTTACTTTTCAGTTATTTTAATGTATTTTTAATTTGCGAATGATATTGACAAAAATATTTAATAATTCAGATTGAAAGTAAAAAATAAGATACAACGTCCTCGACTCAAATTTGAGATCTTGGCCGAAATACTAGTCAAAGTTTAATATTTCTAATTCACTAATCTTTTAAGCATAATAATTTCGATTTTTACTTCGAGGTCCACAAGCGTGCCTTCAGTGCTGTGACACCCATGTGGAATTTATGTGGATTTCAGATTGCTCCCGACGCTCGGTGCTTACTAAGTTTGAATTTTTAGTTTTAATTAATTCAATTTACTAATTCGATGACTGTTACATAGAGCACCTATAAGAAGATGCATTTGACAATATTTTAATCTTACAGTTATAGAAATTAATAAAAATAGACTGATCTTAATACTGAAATTGTGATTTGTAAATATTTTGCATGCTAAATAATATAATTTATAACAAATGTAAACCTGAACACTGTATCTAGAATCAGGTTGAAGTCCAGTGACGTTTAGTTCCAACGCGGCGCCATCCAAAACATCAAATCTCATAGGATCGTTGAGCAGATTCTGTGTTTTACCCTAAAATAGTTTCAAAAATATTTAAATTGTTTATTACATATCACCTGAAACCTACTATAGAGTTAAGTATGAGGTCAGCTATACGTAAATAAATTAGTCTAAAATAATTAGTCCAATATACTCATAAAATCATGGAAAATCCTGGGCGCTAAAAATTGTGATAAAACTTTTCATGAAAATACAGTCGTTACTGGTAAGGCCCACTTGGTATATTCTCATTCGCGTAAATATTTTGAAAAATTGAATTTATCCATTATTTATTCGTATCAATCAAACAAATCCAGAAAATACTTTCTTCTGAACTAGTAAAAATTTTTGCACAGAAAAAAATATGAAAGAACTACTAACATAATATAACAAAGTTCTATCATTTGAATGCGTTAATACAATTGCAAAATAAGTTATATAGGTAAATAAACAGTATTGCAAAAAAAAAATGTAAGAACCATGTCCTTTACGTAAAAATCTTACAATTGAGTCAAAAAATTAGACTAATTTTGTAATTACGACTGTTTCACAAAGTTGGATAACTTTCCAATTCTAAACGTGTACTGACTCAAAAAAGTACTAGATGATATAACTTAAAAAATATCAGACAAAATATTACCAAGTACGACTATGGTAGGGCACGACTTGTACCTTATTATTTTATGAATAATTTTTTAACTTTAAATAATGAATAATTTTTTAAAATTTTTATTACCTCTTCTTTAACCTCTTGGACATGAACGTGATACCCTCTAATAACACCATTACGATCCTTTTCCAGAGGCGGGCGCCAAACGACATGTATGGACGTGGAATTCAATGGGGTCACTTTGACTTCTTGGGGCTCACCAGGCACTGTTATTTGATCATGGGGCAAATCAGAAAATGCACTAATCTCGGATTCATTTATTTTAAGATTTACAACTTGCACGCGAACGAAACGCTTAGGTATTCCTTGGCATATATTTGTAAATAATGTGCTTGGGGATACCTGTGCGCACCTCATGCATACATGATCGACCACGTAATGATAATAAAATTATTTATAAAAATTATAATTTACTTTCGAACAGTGTTTAAAAGACTTATGCAGAAATCTTAGAGCGTAATAGTGCAAACGAGGCTATTGATAGTCTCAAAAATGTTGCAGTGGCTCCAATAATAAATCATCTAAAAAAATGTACCATTTAGGAATATATTTAAAAAAATAAATAAGATATTTTTCATCAGTATTACGTGTGATCATTTATCTCACAAAACCGATTGTTTATGAACATTATCTGTACAAATCCATAAACAACCATTTTTGGACATAACGTATCAAATGCACATCTACTTCTCAATTCACTTATAAATAATAACAAAAATAATAAAATCGTCGAATTTTCAAATCCTCCTAAATCCATATTCATTATTTACACAGTACAAACGCTTCGTGACATTTGAATACCAACACGAAAATATTTTTCGTAGGATAACAAATAAATTCGAATAAGAATAACAAGATACATTTTTTTAAATTTACTCTCTACACATACCTGTACTGCTCACTTTTGGTAACATTTAACAAATTATTTATATATTTAAACATTTATAATATTATGAACAGTTGCATTCAATATGATAACTAATTTTACTTCGATTTAAATTTACTTATACTTAAACTAAATAATAATATAACCATGCACTATTGTATCCTAAGATTGAAAAATTTACCAAAATTTCTAATTTATAAAATTTAATTAACTATAAATAATCAATAAAATTTTATTTCGTTTCTGAGTTAATAATTCGTTGGTTTAATGTTTTTTACCTTGGCTACGGATGCATTGAGATTTAGAAATAAAAATTTAAATAATCGATTATTTTGAAAAACATGATCATGTTAAAAAATATCACTAGCACAGCAAATGTTAGAAAGAAGAAAATGGAGGTGTAGCTTCGAACTGAGATATATATTATTCAGATATAGGTATACAATTTTCTTTGAAATTTTTTTGGAAAATAATTTTGTAAATTTTCGAGTTGAGTTTGAAGCTGCACCTTAGTGCAAACTGCTGATCAAACCAATTATTGGCATTAATTATTATATTCGAAATGTGTAATATTTTTGGTAGGTAAAGAAATTATAAAGTAAGTGCTTGCATAATATATTTTACAGAAATAATTAAATAAGATCGCAAATTGATTTTAACCCTTTCACTACGTGAGTGTTTTCCGCAGAAGTGACACTGCTGTACGGAACAGCAAGCCGCAAAAAACAACGTATTTTAAGGATAAAAATCATTATCAATATAAATGTATTTAAAAACTAAAAATTAAACCTGGAAAAAACCTGAAATTTTCAATAATAAATTAGAATACTCAATAAATTAACTCAGAGTGATAAATATCAAAACAGTCAATGACGTCGATCGTTATGCTGATGCCGTTTAAAGGCGACACTCGTACACACAGGTAGTCGGAAGGGTTAAAATATATAAAGTATATTAGGTGTCATATCGATTCACTCTTTTATAGCCGGATAAAATTGAAAAATAAAGGATCACATATATATACGAGTATATAAGGTGACCATATTTTTAGGCCAAAACCGGGACGGCAAATTGTTGTTATGATACTTGAATATAATTTTGATAACAAATGCTATTCAATTATTTGAGGATGCAATAAAAAACTTTTTTTTAAACAAATCCATTTTTATGCAGAATTACTGACTTTTAGTAGGAATCATTATGTTATATTTTTCATGTACATATACGTTTTCTCCGTTTTTAAGCCTTCTATATAATTCTATTCAATTTTCTTCGTAATTGACTTACTTAGTCAAAATTCAAATGTTCAAAAGGTCGTCCTCATGATTTTTGCTAATTATGGTAAAATTGCAAATAAAAAGGTTCGAAATTATTAACGTTAAAGTTACTCGCATTTGGAATGTTGCATTCGGAAATTTTCTCATTCATAACGTATTGTTTCATAAAAACATACTCGTTGACATTGCAAATATTTGATGAATGATTGTAATTTTATTTGCAAGTAACTGCAAAAATTTAATTCAATTTTATACTTTTTGAATAACCGGTATAATCCAGGATAAATATTGCTTTGAGAAACATCGGGACACAAGGTCACCTTATATAGGGTGGCCCATTTAAAAATTGGAATTTATCGATAACAACTTGCCTGTAGGCCACACCGTGCGGAATTCGAAGTTGCGATATATGGGAAAAAAATTAAGAATTTTGAGACCTTTCTAACGATGTATAATACTTTATATATTTTCTTTACAGAAATATCTAAACCGTAAGATCACTAGATCACTAGGACCACTAGATGGACCACCCGTTATATAATAAAACCGGGACTGTCCCGGCCAAAAATCGGGGCGTATGGTCACCTTATATATAAGAAATTTTGTCGCTAAAATATAAATTCACAGTCTTGTACTTTAATAGTTAAATTATTCATTACCCGGTTGTAATGCCATTTTCAACAACTATCAACAAATTCAAGATCTATGGGCAACCACGACTCTATCAACAGTTTACACTTTTGGAAAGAATAAAAACCAAACAAAATCGAACGCGCAAACAGAGTAAAATTGAAAAATAAACATGACGTGGCAGTTTTATTCTGCCAACAGCTAAAAACATAATACAAAACTTTTTCGAGACGTATTCTCAAAAACAGAGATATCGTCTTTTGGGATTCAACTAACGCAAAAAAGGATAACAACACACGAAAGCGACACGGCGATACTTACTCCTCCCGGCTGTGCCAAAAGTATATCCAAATGATCGGCGAGAGTTGGCGGGTTCGAGAGGTAATATTGAAAAAATATCGAAGAACGACAGTCAGTATAAAAATTCAAAACAGGTTTTCACAAAAATCAAACATTTCAAAAATTCATCAAAAATATATCAGGATTGTCACTTATCACATATGGCAAAAATTTGTTTCAAAAATCGTCATCGCACGCAAAAATTCTTGCATCGTACGACGGAAAATATAGTGTACCTTGAGTTTTACAAAAGTTTAGAAATGCTAAGCGTCTGTTAGAGTTTCTAAGCTGTTGTAAACATACCAATTGATTTTAAACAAAAATATCAAAACAGCAATACTATAAATCCATAGTATTGAAACCTCCTCCAAAATCGTCAAAAAACAAAATATCGATCACATTATTCCTTGCGTCCACCCACGCACATGTAGTGATTCCAAAAATGTAAAAAATTATCAAAAATAATCCTTCGCTGCACGACACTTTTCACAGACGATGTTATAAAAAATAATTGTATAAAAATTGGAAAATGGAAAACCAAAAAATAGACTGTGCGTATAAAAACTCCATCGTCGTTTATTTTGTGTATGTAGTCCAAAAACAAAAACTTTCGACTACAGTGGCAAAATATGTTTCAGTGTTTTAATATTTCGGTTATTGGCATGTGTGCGTGTTGCAAAAATATTCAAAAATTATTTGGCGGCACTCACACACACGCAAAAAATTAAAAACCTTCATAATACCAAACCAGCACATTTTTCTGTATACTTATTACTGTGTCCGCTTGTAATAAATATAGTTGGTTATTAGTAGTAATATAATATATAAGAGCATGCAGAGTATAAAACAACAAAAAATACACATAACTACGAATATAAAGAATTTGAAAAATAAGATTTACGATGAAAATTCGGAAATAAACGTCTACAAGCGACATATAAAAAATGATGACGCTCGTATTGCAAACGTCAATACTTCCGAATAAATACTGCAAAAATTCTAAAATTTGTATTTCGCATAGTGTTCAAAATTCATGTATATGATTGTGACACTGTACTTAGTATTGGTATTCAAATGTAGATCATTATGGTCCTTTAATATGCTTACTTATTTTTTATTTCAAATAAAACCTATGTACCCGAAGAAAACTGTGAGATACTGGATTGGAAAATATCGTATTGAAAACTTTAAATACTTTAATTTCCATCCAGTATCCCAATAAACAATAAGTCAAATCAACATGATAATTCAAACACAGGAATAGTTAGAAACCAACAGAAGCCTAATGTCAAACTTGTGTTATTATATTATTCAAATTGTAATAACTAATTAGAAGCTTAAGATGAAAATTAGTAAATTACTTTTCGACTTTTATAAAGCCGATACATTATTACAGTAGTAGTATTACTATTCACACTCGCACACGCTTTCTCACAGGGTGCATATATAATATTTGTAGTGCGGCCAAAACAGAAAGTGCTTTTTTTCGGTGATACAAATCAGATTAATAATATTTGTGCCATTGTGCGCATGTCAAATCAATTGCCTACTATATTATATAGACATAACCTAAATTGAATCAGGTGTAGGAATCATCAAGGATAGGAAGATTCAATCGTAAAATATGACGTATTTGATTTGAAACCTCTTGTTAGACTATTATTTGTAATAAGCAATAAAAATACGCTAAAAGTAGATGTAAAATAGGTGAGATGATAGAAAATTTAAGATAAACGCGACCGATCAGATCTTCTTGATCTTACAGATCCTCTGAAGGAGGTACAACGTTAATCTTCCAAAACATCGTTGCAACTACTATGAATAGTTACTCTGATAACAACTAAAAATAAATTCAATAAATTCAACTATAAGTTATTTTACATCACTTGGTGCAGATACGAAAAATAGGTGAACTTAAGCGCCAACTATCTTCAAGGTTATTTGCTTTGACGTGAGAGTAGCAAACTTTTTACTGTTCTCCTATATTTTAAATTTCTCTCAGTTTTCTGAATATAAAGCGTTTGTTTTTCAATTATGTCAGTTTAGATTATAAA